GTAACATTTTAACATTTTAAATGTTCTACAATAATATATATATATATATATATATAGTAGCATAATTATTTATTATTAGGCTTACTAATATTATTTATCATTGTTTTAAAACACAAAAAGATAGCAACATTTATAATAGGCGTACAATTATCCACACTGTAGATATGCTTTTGATGCCCTGTTCAGCATTATGAGGCAGGTCACATCTTTGGTCTTCTCTTCACAGTGGGTGACATAAGCTTTAAGGGTCAGCATTCTGCCCAAAGGAGTGGAGACACCGATTCTATGCCCTGACTTCCCATATTTTGCAACCTTCCAGATACTGGAAGAAATTTGTTCTTAAGAGCAAGGCTCAGCTGACAATCCCAAGGCCCTGTAGCAACGGCGTGGTGACTTGTGCACCCCTCCGGCCCCACTCCCCCAGTCTGAAGTTCCCAAAGTCCTTTCTGCCTAGGACAAGAGAAGCACAAAAGAGTGAGACGAACTGATCCTACAAGCTGAGTTGCTGTGGCCACACATACTAGAAGGGAGAAATTTGGGGGCTGACTTGAGACATAAGCTGACAGAGATGGAGTTTGTGATCCATGGGAACCCTTTGGGAGCTCACCCAAAATTCAGATCACAGCTGAATTCCTACTTGTTGCAGCCAGGGGCAGACAACTTCTGACTTCAGCTTTAAGTTTCAGATGTGTTCCTCTTCCCCTATAAAGTTCTATCACCTATCCATTCTCAAACTTTTTTATTTGCAAACACAAAAAATTACTAGCTTTTATGTTAAAAAAAAGAAAAATATTCTTTAGGAAAAAAAAGAAAATAAATCAGAAGTTTATAGACAGGAAAAACCTTTGTTGTTTTTCAACCTCATATGTCTTGATAAATGTTTTATGTGCCCCAGCTTTTCAAATCTTCAGTATCACTCTATGGGTCAAAGTTGACTTAAATGTTCCTGACACATACATGAAACTGAATCATACATTACTTCATTTTTACTAATGCTGATTAGGGTTTTACTCTATTATTGTGCCTTAAGTTATGTAGTTAGCTCCCTATTATTAAATAAATGTGTTGGCTCTAATAGTATAATAACTGATGTGTCAAGTAACATCCCAACACACATATTTTGCCCCATGTTTATCTATGGGCATTGATCTCTTGAATTCATGAATATGGTACTGCTAGCTCAAAGAAAATGTGAATATGCATATTGCACATTCTGAGTTTTTTCTGCTTCTAGTTTCCCAACTTTCACCCACACAAGCACACAAGCGAAGACACACACCAAATGTGAGACATGAGTATTTCCTGAGTGTTTATCACAAACATTGTTCTTGAGTCCCACACTTTTTCATCTCAGCTGTGTTCTATGGACACTCAGTATTGTCATTGTCCCTTCTTCCAGATGCAGATTGAGGCATTTAGAGGATCAATTACTTGGCTATTTGACACCAGATCCTGTGTGCTCTGTTTTGCTTAGCCATCCCGCCATCTCCTTCATCTAACTTATTCATTAACTTTTCCAAGGTTTTCATGATGAAGTGTACAGTTTGTAGAAGCAAAGAAACAATTACCTGATGATCTAGCCATTGTCAGACTGAAGTGTTTGTACTTCAGGCAGTGGAGAGCCATAGAATGTGTGTTATTCAGCAAGTTCCATGGTGCACCTTGCTTTGAAACGATAAGCCCAATTAGCCACACTCATATCATGTTTGTTAAGGGACAGCAGGCTCTTTTGCTTTCTTCAAATGTGTTAAAGCCTCCCCCAGTGTACTGAAAAGGAGACTGTCAAATTATGAAGAGAATCTACTGCAGCTTCTGTACATAAACTCCCTCTCACTCCTGTCCCTTCCCTCCAAGGTCATTGCAAATGCCCAGCACCTGCTTGAACTTATTTTCTGTTTGTTTGATAAGAAGTGAGTTTATGTTGTAGGATTCCCCCATAGTGGGTTTATTTTAAGATCTGGTGAGCAACATGCTTCTCTGTCTGGGGACCAGCTGCGGAAACTCTGACCAGGCAGACACTTCAGAGGAGTGGTGTTTTGGGAAATCAAGCCAAAACAATGCCTTGATCTACTCCTCGGGCCATAGAATAACACTATTGGAGGAAGGGGGGCAAGCTCCTTCCCTGAGTGCCAGGTCTTGGGTCACTGCCTTCAGTTCACACTGGAAGAAAGAGAATGGGATTGAAGGTCATTAGATCTAAAGACACCTGAGAGATTGTGGCACACTCTCCCTCAGACTCAGAATCAGCCTTAATTCCCATTTATTGGCCCCCTGTAGGAGACCGTATCCATGCAAGGTCTCATTCACATTCAGAAAGAAATGCTTATATTGATTGAATGCACAACCTTGGAGTTGGGGCTGCCTAGGTTTACAGTCCAGATTTATGCTTAGTTGTAAGATCTTGGAGAAATTGCTTGCCCTCTCTCAGGGTGGTATCCTCCGGTGTACAATGAAGAAAATAACAGTGTGCACTCTAAAAATAATGTGTGTTCAGGCAGAGGGGTTTACATATGTGCCAAACATGGTACCCTGTGCCTGTTGCACACTTAGCACATGCTAGGCACTTGTCACAGTGACAAAACTGTGAGGGAGAAGTATGGCTTGTTTTTGCATCCTGTGTACTGAGTCTCTGCTGTCCCTGGGTCTGCCTGACCCTGTCCTGTCCTGCACTCTCTTCTAGGATGTCATGGCTACGTGGTTGTAAGCTCCCTCTTCCGCAGTTGCAGTCCCACAACTTTCTTCCCCACTCACACACATGTAATCTGATTGACTTCAAATACCTCCTTCTTGAGAAACCTTTCTGGTTCACCTTCTTGCCCCCATGTGCCGCCTGCCCCCATTCGTTGGTGGTCGACGTCACAGACTTTAGTGACCTTATAACAACCTGACTGATTCAGTATTCTGGCCTTGATGTCATAAGTGGACCAGTAACTCTCCAAGAGCAGGAAGATTTTAAGTTCCACCTTTCTCTATCCCTTGGCACAGAGCAGGTAAAATGCGTCAGATACTTATACAGCTTGTTTGAAAGACAACCTTGCTGCATTGGTGAATAGTAAAATGAATGGATATGAATGAATGAATGAATGAATGAATGGGTGGGTGAATGAATGGGAAGGAGTGAGCCAGGGAACTAGTGAGTGCATAAAGAAATGAATGAGTGAGTGGATGAAAAGTGAACGCTGAGCAAGAGATAATGAAGGAGGGGTGAAGAGGGAAGGAAAGTCTTGGATTTAGAGCCTCTAGAAAGCAGCTTGTGTTGTCCTTGTCCTTAAGCGTGACCTCTTGGCGGCTCTCTCGCCAGTCTCAGGCATACTTTTCCAGTTCTGTCCACCCTCCCCTTCCTCCTTCTCCTCTCACCTGTCTCCAGGAGTGATGACTGAGCTAATTTGTTCACAGACCATTAACTCTTGAGCACTAGAGGAGGCCACCCTGAGTTGGCAAGGAAAGATGGGGTTTCTGGCTCTCTGGCAGCCAGGCGACGTCATCCTTTTCTCGCATGCCTGCCTGTGCAGCTCAGTGCTTATCTCTCCCTCTGCCTGCTTGCAGATGACGACTGTACGGACTCCTTCACGCCCAATCAAGTTGCCAGAATGCACTGTTACTTGGACCTGGTGTACCAGAGCTGGCAGCCCTCCAGGAAGCCAGCGCCTGTCGCACTTGCCCCCCAGGTTGTGGGCCACACAACGGACTCTGTGACGCTGGAGTGGTTCCCACCCATCGACAGTCACTTCTTTGAAAGGTGAGTGTGCCTGTGGAGTGATCTCTCTCTCTCTGTCTCTCTCTCTCTCTCTCTCTCTCTCTCTCTCTCTCCCTCTCTCTCTCTCTCTCCTGCCAAAAAGGGAGAAACTTGGAAGGGAAGCTGTTTTGGAGTGGATTTCATTTTATTTCTTACTCTCACTAAACAGGAACCACACCACTTAGCACTTATATCTATGGCAGGTTATAATTTTGGGGTCAGGGAATAAATGAATGATTGCTACTGGAAATAAATAAGTAATGATACATATCCCAGGCAACTAGGTGTTTAGATTTACTTTATTATTAGAAACTTGGAAACTTCTACTGCTAGAAATCTGTAGGACAGAGGTATTGGTTTTGTCTGTCTTAGCTCAGAAGTGCCTCAGGTTAATGGGCAAAACCCTTTATATTACATTCTATAAAGCTCACATTATGTATAGTAATATATGTTTGTGCACATGTATATTTATGTGCATTCTCACCTATGAATACACATGAATAACAAACAATCATAATGTTTGCCTAGTGCTTATTTGTATAACTGAGGAGGGATTTTTCAGAAGATCAGGGAATAATAAACTGAGGTGCACAATACCTCAGTTTTGTTCCCTTGTCTATTACAAATTAGCTGTGTGACCTTAGATATGTCATAAGCCTTGTCTGAGTCTTGTGCTCCTCTCCTGAAAAGTAAGTCTGATGATGCCGCAGTAGCCAGAAGGTGGAAGTCTGACTAAAATGGCTTCTTGTGGTTCCTGTCAGAATGGAGAGTCCATGACTAGCTCCAGCTTTGAGGGAACCTGTTTAAAAGCTTCATGGACTTGGATCAGTGGTAGAGAACTTGCCTGGAATTTAAAGCCCCGTGTGCCATCCTAGAACTGTAAAACTAAAAAGTTTATGAAAACAGACTCTAGTATTTACTTCTGTTTCGAAACTTTGCTTTAACTCCGAAGAAAATAAGTATCTAATTCCATCCCAGCCCTTCTTGGGATGTATAACATTGATGATGATAAAGGTAAAAACGATGATCATAATTAATTAGTAGTTCTCTGTGGGGATTCTGTGGTTTGTCAAATACTTTCTGTGTGATGGAATCTGTACTGAATGCTTTATAAACAAAGGCTCATTTAATATTCCCTGTAATCCAGTAAAAAAAAAGGAATTAGCTTTTTCATGTGCCAGATAAGGAGAAATTTGTTGCTGAGACAGACTGAGATATTTGACCAAGAGCCCATAGAAAGTGATAGGGTCTGGGATCCAACTCATATTTTGAAATGTCTTGTCTATGACTCCCATATGTTTTCATTAAATTGTTCCAAAACTAGAGTTATGCAGGAGGTGTTACACCACCTCCCAATTCAACTACAAAAAAAGGTGTCAAATAGCTCATATTTCCAAGTAAGTGTGTTTCTGTGTGCATAAAAATATATTAAGCAAAAACCTCCATAGAAACCTTTCAAAAGATGACACAGAGATAGCCAACAGTTATGTGAAGAAAAAAAAAGCTCAACAGCACTAATTATCAGGGAAGTGCAAATTAAAACCACAATGAGATATCATCTCACACTATGAGAATGGCTCTTGTCAAGAAGACAAAACATTAATAAATGTTAGGGAAGATGTGGGGAGAAGGGAAGCCTGTTGCACTGTTGGTAGTGATGTTATGGAAAATAATGTGTGAGTTTCTGGGGAAACTAAATATAGGACTACCTTAGAATTCTGCAGATGGATCTAAAGGACCTGAAACCAGTAGAGACACCCTTATAGTTGATATATAATAGCACACTAATCATTCTTCATCAAATGACTGGATAGAAAATGTGCTATATGTACACAATAAAATATTATTCAGCCTTAAAAGAGGGAAATCCTTTCAATTACAACAACATGGGTGAATCTGGAGGATATTATGTTAATTGAAATAAACCAGTTGCAGAGAGAGAACTACCACCTGATTTCACTTGTATGTTGAATTTTTTAAAAGCCAAACTATGAATAGGGGAAAGAATTATGGCTAGCAGAGGCTGGGGAAGAGGGTGGATTCCAAAAGGAAAGATGTTGATCAAAGGGTGCAAATGTTCAGTTAGACAAGAGCAAGAAGTTTTAGTGATGTGTTGCACAGGACGGTGATCCAAGTCAGCAGTAACACATTGTTTACTTCAAAATTGCAAAAAGGGTAGATTTTAAGTGGTTTCACTTGAAACAAAACATGATAAATATGAGAAGTGATGAATTTGTTAATTTGTCTGATTCAGTCATTCAGCATTGTAAGTGTATAGCAAAAAAAATCACATTGTATACCATAAATGCATAAAGTTATCATGTAAGTTAATTTTTAAATTTAAAAACAGACTCAGTCATGGTGCCATAGGAAATATGTGCTCTAATTTTCTACCTCACCATCAGCCCCTAAATCTACAGGCTTCCTTTGGCAGCAGGACAAGTGGGGAAGGAAATGCAGCTTTGAGGCTGCCTGTAGAAACTCCCTTTCCCCTGCCCCAGCCTCTGAGCTCACTGGGAGCTCAGAGATGGGTTTGGGAAACCTCATGTGACACTTCAGAGCAAGCTTTCCAGCAGCCGTAGATTTATTTATTTTTTCTGTGGCGATGAGAAGTATCAGACTTTTTGGTCAATCCTTGGCCTCCATTTCACTTAAAAATTGAAGTTTTCCAAATGAAGCTTCCTGTGTATGTATTCAATTTGTATTTCATAAAGCAGTTATTGTCCATTAAATAAATACCATCTGATTGTTGGAAACCTATTGGAAGGTTAATTGTTGAGTAATGAGATATGTCTCTATTTCATAGTGCCCTCAGTTTCAATCAGTATGTTTTTAATAACCTATAGTCCGTTGGTACTTGAGGCCCATACAATAGCTATTCTGTTCAGTCTAAAATTTTATAATGGAGTTATGATATGTTAAATTAAAACTGACATTTTTGAAATGTATCTAATTGGGGTTAACATCTACGTAGATCATTGTCTATAGCAAAAGGAAGTCAGTCCACAAGTTCAATAAAATCTGTGAAGTACTGAAACTGCATTCCATATATATCTCTTACCCATACACATGGACTTTGGACTCGGTTTAGTTAGTACGAAATGTGCAAGCTTTGATGTCAAGAAATTTGCTTCCCTTCTCAGCTTCATTATTCCCAGTCGATGGGACCTTGGACCAGCGTACTCACTTCTCTGGTCCTTTGAGTCTTCTTCCATGAAAGGTGCTAATAGTCCCCCCCCGACCCCCTGCCTTCTGTGAGGAATTCAACAAGATGATCTGTGTGACGTGGCAAGCATGCATGCTCTACACTCAAGAAATATTAGCTTCCATCTCGTGCAACATTTTCCAGAGCTGTTTAGCTACTTGAAAAATTCCCTTTCCCTACAAAACCTCTGGAGTTTTCCACGTCATCCATCAATGTCACTGTCTCACCCCCGGCCATGCTCATGTCCTCCTGCTGTTCTCACATCTGTGGTCTAAGAGAATACAAGGGTTTGCCTTAAAAAAAAAACATATTCAGATCCTCCCATAGCCTGTGTCCTCACACATGGGCAACTGAATAAATAATTCAAGGCCACCCCTGGTTTTTCTAACTCTTTTTATTTTTATCTGTCTTGCAAACATGTGTTGACTGGATGGTTTCAGCTATTGGAACAATTGGTCATGGTCCATGGGATAGAGGACTGGGTTGGGAACCAAGAGACCTGGGTCTGAAATCAATGACAATTCATCTGTTTTCTCTGCCTTTTCAGTCTTCGGTTTCTGGTCTATAAGCCAAAGAAGTCTAGCTTTAAAAAATTATTTAAATAATGATTTTCTAAGTTTTCTTAAAGATGGTATATACTAGTATCATTCTACTTTCTAAGGAGAGAAGCCAATTCATTTTATATAATGGACACCTTAAAGAAGCACTGTCCAATGGGACTTTGTGTGCAATAATGGCTACATCTACATTTGCGCAGTCCAGGAGAGTAGCCACTATTCAGCTAGGAAGTGCAAGGAAGAATTCAAAATACTACTAGTGTTACTGAGAAGGAGAATTTTTAAATATATTTGTTTATGATTAATTTCAACTTGAATAGCTTCCTGTGACTGGTTGCTACTATATTGAAGAGCACAACTTAGAGCTTTAAATTTTGACAATTACAAAATCTGGGTAAGAAAGATGACCTCTCCCAGTATTCACAACCTCTAGATAAATTATTGCAGTGTGTGTTTGTGTGTGTGTGTGTGTGTGTACATGTAAGTATCCATTAAAATCAAATAAATTAAGAAATACATACATTCCCTAGATATGTCCAGTATCCCAGATTATATCTTGGGAACCTGAGATGTGTTGAGAACTCAGTGAAGTTCAGGTGACTTGTGTATCACCTGAAACAAAACTTCTAAAGTAAAGAAAACAAAGACTCAATGACTTTTAAGGTCATTATGGCTCCTGAGCCTTCCCCAAGATATTTGTAATCTCACTGTTGTCATAAAGCCAGTCATGTGACTCAGAGCTGCTATGCATGGATTGTGGTCATTGTAATGGAACTATTCCCTCACTACCAGTGCTGAAGAAGCATCTCTTGTCATATCTAACTCCCTGGCTGCCCTTATATCTGTACAAATATTATTACTGTTCATTCAAGAATAACTCAGAGGTATTTATAATATGCAGAAATTTTAGAAAACAAAGAAGAGTAAAAGTGATGGCAGAGCGTGGGGGAAATCAACCTATGATCCATCACTCAGAAATTACTGCCAACAATATTTTATTACATAGATTATTTTACTAGTATTGAGATATGTTATAGATTCCATTTTAAATGTTACTTGTATTTAGTATTATACCTTACACATCTTGCATGAAATTGTATATTCTTATAAATAATCTTATAAGTGCTTATCATTCTACTCAATATATTAACTTTGGGATCTCTAATTTATTCTATTACTGAGGGTGAGAGTGTTTGCAAAATTTCTGCCTATGTATGGTTTCATATTAACAACAATAGAGCTAAGAATGCAAAATAAGTCATTTGAAAGTCTGCTGTAGGTTAGCCATGAGTATTAATAATATTTCTCAGTGACTGATATTCATTCACCTATTTATTCATCCATCTATCCAACCATCCATCCATCCACTCAACTACATATACTAACCATCCCTAGGAAATGTACTGTACCCTGAGAGAAAAAGAGAGCCATAGGATACTGACCTTTTCCTCAAGGACCTCATAGAGAAATAGAAAGAACTCATTTATATTAAAACAGACAAACGAACTTCCTCATAGAATATCCAAGGCATGGATGGAAACCATCAGTCAGGTTTAAAGAGCAAGGATGGAGTTATGGGGTAACATAGAACAACACAAATGGTCACCAGAGCTGATCAGTGAAAACAAGGCGAGACTGATGAGAAGGGCTTACTAGGACATTGGATGCTGCCATGGTTCAGAGTAATAAGGGCTGGAGTTACCAAAGGAGATAAGCAGGGACTTGACCTATTCAGATTGAGGTTTGGTGATGATCTACCAGCAGCTGTGTATAGAGCACCAGAAGATTGTGATATGCACAAGTGTGTTCTTCCTTACCATGTGAGCCCAGAGGAATGACCTTTCCCTGTGAAAGGAAAGCTGCAAGACTTCAACTTTGGCTCTCCCTTTGAGATTTTTCTAGGAATGATGAACAAGGAATCAGCAGGGATCTTGTGTTTGAGAAAAGCTGGGTTGGGCTGGGACACTTCTTGACATCTTGACAGTCAAGATTCAACTTCTACTTCCTCTGTAACGGTCACTCCAATTTTCAGAATTTGGGGTCTACAATAGTCTAAGAGGAGGGGACTCATCCCACTCTCTTCTCCAGGCCTGCCTCCTAAACAGATGCCAAATTTAGAGAACAAGTAGGATCCCAGTGACTGTTATGGCCAAAAGGAGATTGAATCCAGACACACCAGACAGCAGAAGAAGCCACCATCATATTCTGCTCTGGGGCTGGTCCCACTGAGGGATTGGCTAACCCCTTGGAAATCTGCTAAAATGAATTAAGTGGCAAAGTAAAGAAACTGCTTTTGACTATTAAATTAAGGAGTGACTCATCCATCCCCAGAATGTCAAAGCTGGAAGCCTCTACAGGCATAGTCTAGTACAGCCCGCTCATTTTCAAATGAAGGAAACACGCTCTCTTCATATTTAATGCCTATGACACAGGGTGGGGCCTGGCACAAAGTAGGGTACAGTACATGACAAATATTGCTAATGGGGTAAATGAGGTCAAAGGATTTCTCACAACCGCAGAGCAAACTCCAGTGGACCTCTTCCTGACAGGTGAAATCTTAATTATCACAGGTGCTAAGCCTCTGCCCTGTTGATTTGGTGCTGCTTGAAGCAGGGACATAGGAAACAACAGAGTCCACTTAGGCCCAAACAGTGTCCTGGGCAATGAGACAAATTTCACTTACAGACATATTTTTAAATTTTTTGCTTGTGTGCAAAGAAAGGGGGTTACATAGACTTGTGTCCTCTGCCCTGTTATCTTTAACCTCATCCCAACAACTGTTCATTCTAATGTTTCTAAGTCGGTGCATTTCCCCTCTTTCCTTGGCTTCCTAGAGAATTGGGATCAGCATGTGACCTTTGCCTGGAAGGGAGAATCCTGGTGCAGTATGCTTTCAGAGCCTCCTCCCCAATGCCCTGTGGCCTATTTGGACACTGGAGCCCCCGGGAAGCAGAAGGTAAGTCAGCCCTCTACATAATAATTGAAAGGTGCACCAGGCAGAAAGCAACTTATTCCATTCCCATGCAGTGTTATGACTTCTAGTGGTCTTTCTCGTTTTTATACTGTCTTATCTGATCATAAAATCACGTTTGCAAGGCCAGTACTCCTGAGCTCATTTATTCAACAAATATTTTTAAACTCTCTTAAGTATGCAATGCTTGTGTTGCATATGAAGAATCAAAGGCACCAAGATGTTAAGTGAGTCTCCAAGGCCACACACCTGATAATGCCCAGGGTGCAGAGATGTTTATAGATCCCTCAGACCCTGACTGCTTGCAGATGGAAGCAAAGTCACCAGTAGTCAGTACACCTATTTGGGGCTTCAATCCATCAGTCTTCTCTGATTCTTCAGTTATTTCTGAGTCTGATAGTCAGGACCTTCTGATATGTGTCATAACTGTTCCTTTCAATTTCTTCCATGTATCCTCCATTTGGGGTCCACTTACAGCCAAAATACTTGAGGAGAGAATCTTCCACCTGTCTCTGTTCTGGGCCTCACTCACCTTGTATGCTCAGGGGGTGTCTCTCAGGCTTGCCAAGGGCCGATAACTATGCTTCCTTATAGCATGGTTGTTTTATATATATATACACACACACACACACATAGCTGTTCTGTGTTCTGTGGAGATGAAGTACACAAATGCTAGTTGTTGCAGTCTTCCGCTTGGCCCTGAAGTCAGACTGGCAAAGATTTTCTGCCTTTCTCTCTATCTCCCCTTCCTGGCCCTTGGAGACTAACAACCTGACCCTGGCCCTGCCCAGTCCCTCCTGCTCTTGAGCAGATGGGCTCATGCCAACAGTCACTGGGCGGGGACACTTTTATACCAGTTCCATCTAAGAGAGCAGAACCTGTCTCCTCATGGAGCATTAATAAGAAATCCTCAGCTATCCTCTGTATTTTTAGAAAGGAAGTTGAAAGGAAAGAGCCAGAGATAGACTAAGTCAAGGGAGAGGGATCAGAGAGGAACTTGACGTTGAAAAATGATGGCACTATACTTTATTTTCTAAAGTAGCTCAAAATAAAAATGAGAATTGAACTCAGGAACTCTAAACAAATCCATCTGGAATGTAAAGCAAGAGGGATGTCTGGGAGAAACCCTCAGCTCAGAGAATCACAGGCTGCCATGCTTGTAGAGGACCCTGGGGTCACCCAGCTCCAGTCTCCACCCAGTGCAGTAATCCCATCTATGCTCTTTCTAGCCACGGCTGCCTTGCACCCTGTCCTACCTCTACTTTATCACAAAGAACTTTCTAAAATATGCAGTCACCATTTCTTCATCCAAAGTACACACACTGGGATCTCGCTGAAGAAGCCGTGTGTCTCTGACAACTGACAACACTCTACACACGCATAGATTGACTTTTCTTGACTGTGATCACCACAGGGATGATGACCTGGGCTCTGTGCTGGGTGCATGGGTAAGAAGCTGAGCTTACCATTTTCCCTGAGTAACTGCTTTTCGGTGCCCATGGAAGCAGACTGCTGGGGACTAGCAGAGAGCGGACCTCACTTGGAACTGGAGACTCAGACTTTCCATGAAATGTCACGAGTGCATTCGAGAATGTGGAAGAAGTTCAGCAAATGTAGAGTTGCAGTGTTCATAAGTTCTTAAGAGACATATGGGATAACTGCAGGGGTTCCCAGACTGCCTTTGAAATCTGGAGGATTTTTGTGATGATAGCACCAGAATCATTTGCCCTTTGCACTTTTCATTCTTTTCTGTAACTACAGTTTTTTCAGGGAAAACATAATATGTGATGTCCTTAGAGCTCTGACTGACCATGGAACACACTTATTTATTCTTGGAATGTAAAATGTCTTAGTTTTGACCTAGAACTTGGTAACTATTAGTCAATACAACTTACATTTAAGTAGATTTCTAGTATCACGAGAAAGGTGAGGTGGGAGAGGTTGGATAGTTGATCTGGAAAATGACCAGCTGAGGATAGCTTTGGATTAACATGGAGGGCATCGAGAAGATACCATGTACCTTGGTGGGTGTAGCATGTATGGCGAGGCATGCATCTGACTAAGATTGTTCCAGCTGCTCTGGAGATGAGATTAGAGAGACGAAGGTCCTTGAGGAAAGGAAGCAGGTGGTGGTTGTTGTCAGTGTCCAGGCAAGGCATGGTGTTGGCATGGTTGAGATCAGTGGCAGTGAGGATGGAGATAAATTGATGGAGTTGGGATCTATGTGGGAGGTGGAATCAAAGAGGGTCTCCCTTCATACTTTTCTGGCTATCATCGTTGTGGTTTGTTCTACGCTTGTTGGAGTGACCCAATTTCCATTTTTTTATTAATTAATTTCATTGGTACATTTAAGGTATATAGTGTAATGACATTCATCATTGGAAGTTTGCGCTTTTACATAATCCATCTTGGTTCTTATTTTTTCCCCATTCCCCTGCTCCACATACCTCCATCCAAACCACCTGGAGGTGAGGAAGTCCATTCCTGGTTTGTCCCCAAGCCTTTTAAAGTGTGACATGCGGTACAGAGTTCAACTGCAAATGCTGAGCCCCCTGATTCCCTGAGATGATTCAAGTCTTCAAGGAAAGCCAGCCTCCCTGGATTTTCCTCCTATGTAAATTTCGTCCATGTGAGCCAGGAAAAGACTGTTCTTTTTTTAGAGCATCCTACTACAGGCTCTGTGATCCTTTTGGCTCAGAACCTTTTAATATCCTTGAAGAAATAAACTTTTCCATGAGCCAATTGCTGCAATTTATTTCTCAACTCATTTTCATCCTATTTATCTTTGTGTGTTTAAACTGTTGGACTTCCCTAACTAACAGAAAACTCCCAGATTCGTGAGCGATAGCAGACATGTCTGTGGGTTTAGAGAAAGAGTACAGAGTGAGAGGAGTAGGATAAGGAGAACTGGACGTTGGTCTCAGCCCTGTCATCAGTATGCCCTAGAAAGTTGCTGAACTTTTTGGAACACAGTGTCCCCCCGACAAAACGGACAGCTGAGCCATGGTGCCCTGTCCAGCATTCACAGTTGCTGGATCTATAACCTCTTTTTGAACTCCATATTAACAAGGCAGATTTTTAATTTAACAAATATCTATTGGATATCCCCTCTGCTGCATTAACTTCATTTCAAAGAAGGTAAATGAAGTCACAGAACTTCTTGCTTCTTGCCTTTGTTGACAAAAAAAATGGATGTATTCCTAATTCTTGAGCAAAAATTGTATTTCATACATGAATATTTCCTGATATATCTACAACATTTTACTTGCAGCCCAAGAATTAGATAGCTGGATCTGACCTATACAAATCCCTTCTAAGATCACTATGCTGGGTTTCCATGAGAGATTAACAAATGACATTGGTGGCTATCATTTCTTCTTATTTGTGTAAGTGCTTTCTCCATTGTTCTTCCCAGAAGGTTTCAGGTGGGCTGAACTATTCATCTGGAGAAAAGCTTAACATCAGGTTTTTACTATGATATGCAAGTCAACAGCTCGAGTGTATACACACAAAGACATGTAATAAGTCTCTGCTTGGATCATAAAAGCAATTTGGGATCAGCATAAATATATGTCTATACCCATTTATAGCCCTATTTCTAGTGGACAGCTTAGATAAATGTAGAACTTTTCACGTAATCACCATATATACAAAAGGGTAGATTAATAATGAAGTAACAGGCCCTTTAAAAAGTGAAGAAACTTCACTTTCTTCCTTTCTGTTCTCCCTCCCTCCCTCTCTTCTTCTCTTCCTTCCTTCTTTCCACTCTGTTTCATTTTCTCAGCCCTTCTTTATTTCATACCCAGACATCAGATCGATTTCTTCGATCGGTTTATGTTTTCTTGCTTAAGAACGCTAACGTGTCATCTCCTTTGATGCCTCCTTGACCCAAGTACCAGTTGTATGCTATCCCCGTTAGTGCAGTAGTCTCCTAACTCACGTCACTACACTAGGAGGTCCATGAGTGCAGAAAGCATGTCAAGATGCTTTTTCCCCAGGGACTAACCTAACTCAGGACACAGGCTTGACATTAAAGAATTATTCTTTGGGTCCATGAATGTATGGACAGATAGATGATGGGTGTATGAATGGATCATATCTTGATTAACATACAGTAATTTTTCTAAAATGTAAATCTATGCCACTCATCTGTTTCAATTTCTCAATAACCCTTCTTCTACCCAAGTATAAAGTTTACTTTCCTTAACATGACATCAAAAGCATTTCTTGCTGTGGGTTCTAGTTGAATCGCCAACCTCAGCACTTACTACTCCCCTGTTGTCCTCAAAACCGTGTTCATTTCAGCTCATGCTCTTTCTCGTCTGTTCTCATTGCTTGGGATGCCTCCTCCTACCAAGATTTTCCTTATTCATCCCTCCTTCCTTTTCAGGATACATATTTTTGTGATGATCTATTAAAGATGTCATTCCATGTGCATTGTATTACGCCCCTGTGAAGCCAGGAACGTTCCAGTAGGTAGCACAATGAGAAGCTATGTATCTGGCTGTTTAACCCCACTTTCATGGCTTCCAAACCTGGCCACTGCCTGAACCAATGGTGTCACATAGTGTTTGTCTGTTTGCTGGAGAAGTACTGAGCCATCTTAGTCTCAGTTTCCACTTCTGCAAAGAGAGTTTCCTAAAACCCGCATCATACACCTGCTGCCAGGTTGAGAAGAAGAGCTGAGGTATGCAGTGGACTGGACACTGGGCCCGTACCTAGAGGGTGCTCAGGTCAAGGAGGCTGTTATCATTAAAGTGATTGCCACTTGGTACTGGTTTGGACCTCACGACCGATGCAGCTCCTTTTCACTTCTAACCCTGTCTGCAATTACCTGACAAGCACAAGCTTTGCGGAGGTTTCTACTCCTGTTTACCTCCTGGATCGTAGTGGCTGGACTCACCTTCCTGTCCTTTTGAAAACAGTTGGTTCCTCTGTTGATGAACAAGAAACCAGGGAGGAAAGATGAAGCCAAGCAGATTTGTCATCATTGCTCTCCTGTGGCTTCCAACCACTGACAGTCATTTTCTTCAAGGAAGGGATTAAGATCTTTTTATCTTCTTCCAATTCTGGGAGAAAGTCCATGGAGGCAGGTGGTATATTTACCTGGCAAACACTGTCAGGCAGCAGGCTCTAATACCCCATGACCTAGCTTCTTCCTTAAATCCATATTAACAAGAAAGAAGATTCTTCTTTTAACAAATATTGATTGAGCACTCAAGAGCAATCTCTATAGACCAGGTTCTATATGAAGCAAAGGCTATATATGACTTTTAGTGAAAGAGGCCTATAAAATAGAGTTGGGAATGTTACCCATCTTGTAGGACTTTGATGACAATCCAGTGATTTAAGTGATGCCTGGAGAACATGTTTCATATGCTGTAAAGTGTTGTCTCAGTAATGTATTCTGAATGAATAAGTGATGCATGTGCACTTACCGCTCTCAAAGTTAAGAATCAAGAATGCTATGGGTTGCAGAGTAGATAGGGAGAAGGCTTCAGGTAGATGGGGATCCGTGTTCGTACTTTTCACAACTAAGACTAGCTTCCGCTGACAGCTGCTATGAGTAATAGTGGAACCTCACTGAGCGGGTGTACCGGGAACTTGTTATGTCCATCTCTTCTTCTTCTGGTGTATTATATCTAAAAGGTCTCCATGCATTTCTTTTACCTGCTTTATTTTCTCTTTCTTTTCTCTTCTCCATCTCCACTTAGTGACTTCTCTCTTCTCTCTTATGGGCAGAGACAAGGAGGTTGGCAGCATTACGGCCTTCCTCGGCATAACTTTTCTATCCCAAGTGACTTTGCAGTGTTCATATCATAGGGATTCCTGTTACTCTGTGACATTACTACAAAGTGTTTTCCAGTAAACATTATTTTTTTTTCCTTTTTAAAGAGAAATATGTATCATCAGTACTCACACCGGCAACCAATCACTGATACTGAAGGAATAAAAGAACATGGGTAGCAGAACAACTTGAGGTTCCCCCACCCTTGTCTCTCCAGCTGATCTGTATCTTTCACTAGACTCCCTAATACACATTAGAGCCAAGTGCTACATTGAGTTCTGATTGATTTTCTCAGCAGCACAAGGGAGAGATCTCTAAGGGTCTAGATGTGACTTCAGCAGAGAAAAATTTAGAAGTCACTTCAGGCTGAGATCAGTTGGGATGAGACATGATCTCCCTGGGGAATGAGGAGAAGAATCCCTCCTTCCTCTGTGCCCCCCACCAAATCCTCCCCTTCCTGAGTCAGACTGGACACAACTCAGAAAAACTAAGTGGTATGGAGTGAGCTCATGCGGGGAAGGGGAGGAGAAGAGATAAGATGGCTCCAGAGCTGCCTTCCAGCTCCGTCATTCAGAGTGCAGTTTCCTCCCAGCTCTGCATCCAAGGAGTGAATGCTATCCTTGTTCACCTCCTCCGTGCTGGCTATTTTTTGGTGCTTGGTCAGTCCAAGCAGGTTACACCAAAGAGAATAATACCATAAGAATTCTAATTTATTGTACTGGAGTAGCCTCTCTCTCCAAGAAGGACAAGAACAGAGTGTAGGGATTTCAGAATGAGGCAAAACTGAGTTCTAACGCTGACCTTTACACTTTGTCAGTTAACTCTGTGTTTCTGAGCTTTACTTTCCTCACCTATAAAATTAGTCCTTATAACACTTAAGTAAGAGGGTGTTTGACAAAGATGTGTCCCATCTTTCTTTCTGTCCTTGACAGCCAGGTCTCCAAGTAGAGGACAAGTTTGAGTATCTATTCAGTAGTAAAAAATTATTTGGACATAGACTTCGACAAATGTCTAATGATTCATCTGAGACCTGTTTTTCAAAATAGAAATGATTTGGGTTCTGTATATGCAATAGGTTAGGCAAGGCATGGGAAATCCTCCTCATCAGACCACTTTCTTCTGGAGTCTTTGAGAAACTCTGAGAACCAAAATGAATGTCTTTCCTTAATAACTCATTCCTCTTCTCTTCTCCATAGGTCATCCAGATGTTGAGCAACCCTGTAAATCCAGTGTCCGCACCTGGAGCCCAAATTCAGCTGTCAATCCACACACGGTCCCTCCAGCCTGCCCTGAGCCACAAGGCTGTTACCTTGAGTTGGAATTCCACTACCGCTTGGTCCCTGAGACTCTGACTATCTGGGTGACCTTTGTCTCCACTGACTGGGACTCTAGTGGAGCTGTCAGTGACATCAAGCTCTTGACGGTCAGTGGAATGAACATTTCACTGGGCCCTCAGAACGTCTTCTGTGACATACCACTGACCATCAGACTTCAAGATGTGAGTGAGGAGGTGTATGGGATCCAGATCTACACCCTGGATGAACACCTGGAAATTGATGCAGCCATGTTGACCTCCACTGCAGATAGCCCACTCTGCCTAGCGTGTAAACCTCTGCAGTATAAGGTAGTCCGGGACCCTCCTCTCCAGTCGGACACAGTTTCCCTCTTGCACCTCAGTAGAAGATTCATGGACACGTGAGTACACTTTCTGGATTGGGTGCAACCAAGTGGGTGGCCTATGGATAAAGTTATAGAGGGTCAGAAAGATGGATGAAAGGAAAAGGTTCATTACATTCAGACTCCTTTCCTAGGATCAGCAGTGATGTACAAACTGTATTAACAAGGCAGAACTGTTATAATGGGAAGGTTGAAGGGGGAAGAACCAGGCTTGGGTTTGGTGACATCTCTGATGTGTGACCCTAAGCCTCACTTACGTCTCTGTAACTTAATCTTCCCAACAGTAAATGAAGGACTATAAATAATGAGGAGAAAGCCACTTATTGCTAAATGAAAGTGGAAGAACTGAAGTTTGCTAGTGATTTCTCTTCTATATTAAACTGAAGCAGACTTGTGCATTCTCATGACCTTTCCAATGGATGGGAAGGGGGTGATGTTACAGCAGATTGGTTGGATATTGTGCACACCTCTTAGGGTTTGTATGAAAATTTTCCTGGATGCTGACCATCACCAGGCATGGCCTTTTTTTTTCCCCCTTATTTCATCAGGTGGAAAAGAAATTGAAATTCCCTAGATCCTTAAGGTTCTTTGTAGGGTTCCATGTTTTTTAGAGGGTGCTCTCTGCTTTCATGTGAAGAAGTGCTTGACTTTAATATTCGCTTAATCATCTCTCCATGACTTTTTCCAGTTCCAGATTTATATTTTATGAAAGTGATCATGTTATGATAAAGTCATTAGTAATTTTCCTGCATACCAGATAATGTGCTAAGTACCATCTTTGTATATTTTGCTATATTTTATCCTCTCTACAGCTAAATATTATCATTTTACAAAAAAGGAAACAGTGGCTTAGAGATGTGAAGACACTTGTTTAATATCACATTGTTAAGAAGTGGTGAGATTAAGATTAGAATTTCATTTTAACTCATAAACCGGAATATTTAACTTATGTTCAACCAAAGATGTAATTCCAATTTCTGCTTTAGTTTTAAAAAAGAGTGCTGCCTAATCTGGGTCCTGTAGCCAATCAGCAAACATTTGTGAATGCTTGTAGTATGCAAAGGACATTGTTGGGGAGGATTTGGGGTATTAGAAAGAATGATAATAAATCTAGAATCAGATGGTTTATGTCCATTGCTAGTCAGTCCACTTACTAGTGTTTGATAAATCAATCCCTTGGAGTCTTAATTTCTCCTCTGTATGATGATAATATTGAAGTCTGGGTTTTCTATGAGCCTTTTATGGCTCTTTATTTGGTTCTAAGATGATATAAGACACAATCTCTGCTCTGTCTACTTGAAAATATTTACTAAGCCAATCATTAATGGAAACCAAGTTCTGGAAGGAAACTTTTAATCTTTTTAAGAGACAGAACCACTTTCAAACACTTTACCAGCACTTCCTCTTACATGCCAGAAATTAATGTGCACATCTCAAGCAAACCTTGCCCATGCATTGACTCAGAGATGAAGAACATCTGTTTAAGAACTCACAAGGAGCACTTGGTTTGTGTTTGAGAATGTACTTAAAATTTAAAGGCTCCTCTTGCCTTAAAAATATTCCATAACACTGTCTCTTCCGTCTCCTCACTTGTCTGGATTGGTAAAGCTCTATAAATACGCATCCACTTAAAAATTATTTGTAAAACAACGGAAGAAAGAAATAATAGATGTCTTAAAACCTTGCTTTAAACACAGCTTTCATTTTTTGCCTTGATTTATGAACCAGTTAGAGCTGACATGAGTTGATAAGTGTGGAATGGTAGAAATTAAACAGATGTAAAAGCACCGTGAGTCCCGGTCTCAGCTAAGTCATTAACTTGCTGCACGATCTTAGATGAGTCATTTACTCTTTCTGGTCTTTGAATAATTGAATTTGACCAGAAGGAAGTTTGCACTAGGGCAGTGGTTCACAAATTCAGTTATCCATTAAAAAAAGTCTTGGGGTATTTTAAAATTGCCTAGGTCTCACATGCATCCCATCCCCACCTTCCATCCCGCCTGCCCTCCTCCAGGGAGGTGTTCATTTAATAAGAACAAGACCTTATCATGAGGACTTACAAATCTCACTGAAATGATTATAGTGTGCAATCAAATTTCAAATCCACTACAGTTTTAGTTGTCAAAGTGTGGCCCCAGACCAGTAGCATCACTTGAAAACTTAAAGAGGTCATATTCTCAGGACCCAATTGAGCCTACTGAATCAGAAATTCTGTGCATAGGGCCTTTCCAGGTAATCCTGATGCCCAATAAAATTTAAGAGCTCCTGCTCTGAATGATCTCTATGCTTCAGAAATCTCCAAGGTCTCTTTCATTACCCCTTCATTTTACAAGTATGTATTGAGAACATTCTAAATGCCAGAGCCTGGATCTGGGAACCAGAACTTATAAGGAAACTCAGATGATCCCTTTCCTGAAAGCATTACACATGTGTGCTGAGGACTTCACCTCCTCTAAAAAAACACCAATTCCTAAGCCAGTTTGCTCACAGAATCATGCTTTTCAGGTCCACACTATTATGCACCATTTGGTCTTCCATTCACTCCCCAAGTATTTCTTTAAAATCCCTAGAATGGGACAGTCCCAAGAGACAGACTGAAGCATTGCTTGCCCTTTTTCTCCTTTCTTGAGTCCCAAGAATTTTATCTGAGATCTGAACTAAGCAGGACTGGGTTTTCTGAAATGAATGTTTTCTCTGAATCTCTGAAAAAAAAAAAAGAAAAAACACATCATTCCAAGTCAACCTACAATCTCATCTCCTTTATCTCCTGGTAACTTGAATTATGAATCCCACCACAAATACCTCTTTGTGGGGTGCATATGCGTGCATGTGTGTGTGTGTGTGTGTGTGCATTTTGCACACACATTTTTTCCATGTCAAATAAATTGGCTTCTATGCAAGTTCTATATAAAGACTGTTTTGGGGAAACTTTCTTTTTCTTCCGTGACTCAACCCACTACATGATTCCCTTTGACCTTTGTCTTCATTTTTTTCTCTCAACAAAAATATTTATTCTTTCTCTTATCTACACCAAAGATAGTTTTCCAAGGTATGACAATGATGAAGGGAGAACTTTCTGTGCTTACCCCATGGAAGCTTCTAGTAGACGGATTACTTTTGGCAGGACAAGGAACAAATGTGGAATGTCTCTATCTCCCCTAAGTCAAAATCCTTTCATTGAACCAGAACTGACACTATTACCAAAGAAGTGGGCTCTGTGACTAATTTACCATGTGATGTCCAGATATATTATATCACCTGTTTGGGCCTCCATTTCCAGATCTGTAAAATGAGAGTACAGCACGTTATACTCTTCTCTGTGGGTAGGCACAGACATGATGTCTGTGCACTTGCTTGTAGTAAAAGGGATTGAGCTGGGGTTTTCTACGAGAATTAGTACTCAAGAAACCTTCACTAACTCCTGAAGCCTACTGAAGTATGTACTCTATTGAGTAGACAATAGAGATAAAAAGGACATCAATTTACTAAGTGCCCACTCTGCTGGAAGTGCCTCACTTGGCAGATGAGAAAGTTGGAGCTCAAAATGATTTATTCAAGAATTTCATATAACTAGTAAGGACATAGCCAGATTTATAATTCCACATGTTGCCTTACTGACCACTATGCAAAACTACCTCTTACTGCAGAAAGGTGAAGGAAGAGTTTTAGAGTTGAGAACCATAGCCAATCTGACCAAAGTTCTAGTTGGAGCAAGTAGAAAAAAAGACAAGTCACCACTAACCCCAAGTCAGCTCCTGAGATTCACCCTCAGGGTCCAGGGACATAAGTAGTATACCAGTTCTTTCTGGCCCTGGCTATGAAAAAATATCAGGGAAGTAAGCCTCTGTTTCCCCAGCTCTACTATAAAAGAGCTTTGAACACTATGTTCCTTGGTCTACATGGAATTTTCATATTTTTCCAAGAAGTGAAGTTACTGGACAAAATTAAAGTGTACATACAAAGAGGGGAGATAATAGCAGATAATGAAATGTCAATCAAATCAGAAACAGTGAACAGCAACTCACATTCCTTATTCATGTCTCTCCCATCCATCCATCAGTTTATGCAATCATTAACTAATAATTGAATGCCATACACTGTGTGAAGAAATGGTGATCCAATGGTACCGATAGCTCTGTGTGCTAATGGTCTATGAGAAGAAATTCACGAGCAAACAGTTTCACTGTGGCAAATTAAGCTGTGAGGGAAAACAATTCTGGCTCAGATTTTAGAGAATTCTGGTCTAAGCTAGATCCGCAGCATAAACTCCTTGAAGACTGGCTTTCCTGCCTATTTGTCTGCTGAAACATTCCAAGAACCTAGAACAGTGTTAAACACAGCGTAAGCACTAAGCAAATATTTTCAATAGATCTGGGAGAGAAGATGGGAAGGAATTTAGCCTTTGAAGAGAAGTAGCGAAGCTAAATTTATCAAGCATGCATCAGGCACCTGCCTGAGACTTTACATAGATAATCCTATGTAATTTAATCATTACAACAACCTTAGGAGGTAGGTGGATTTACTCCCAGATTACAGATCAGAAGAGATGTGGATGGCAATATTTACACATGGATCAAGCAACAAAGCTAGGGCCTGTACATGTACTTGTGAACTCAGAAGCCAGTGCTCTTCCTTGTCCATTCTGTGGTTAAACAAATGTGCTTGTATTTCATACCTTTGCTAGTGTCTCTGTCTTCTTGGTCTCCTGGATCTAAAGGCAAGACGATGATTAGGAGGCATTTCTCACAACTGGCTAATTTGTGTGTCCCGAAGAGTTAATCTGTTAATTGTCTGACATTCTGACCCATGAAGATGCAAGGCACAGTCTCTATTTTACTTCCTCTTGTCAGCATCCTAAATGTAATTTGGGAGAAAATGGGTTATCATAAAGAAAGGATCTAGTCATATGACGTAGATGGGTGTTCTTGTCACTGCGAGTCCAAATTTTGCAAACCAGATCCAAATCTCTTTCTCTGGATTCCAAATTTTTGAACACCCATCTATCAAAAACTTTAGTT